CTTAACGTTTATTTATTTTTGAGACGGAGAGAGACAGAGCATGAACGGGGGAGGGGCAGAGAGAGAGGGAGACACAAGAATCTGAAACAGGCTCCAGGCTCTGAGCTGTCACCCCAGAGCCCGACGCGGGGCTCGAACTCCCGGACCGTGAGATCGTGACCTGGTTGAAGTCGGACGCTTAACCGACTGCGCCACCCAGGCGCCCCTGGCTGTGAGCTTTTAAAACAAAAGCTAATATAGAGCGGATGAGGAGGTTCACTGTGACTTTTTATACGTGGGGACGAAAACCACTCACACGGGCCACGTCTTCCTGCAGGAAAGAACAGGAAGTACTTGCCTGCCCCGTCACTTAACAAACAAAATACAAAGACTGTTCAAACGAACAGGGTTATCTCTCTGAGCGTAACGCAAAAGTTTCCAACATTGTGTCTATTCTTACACCGTATCGCAAAGTGCAACTGTGCATCTGTACGCAATTTAGTCCAAACCCAAACAGCATCGTTTAAAAATGTTTTCCTTGGAAAAGCATGCGTTTATTTCTACATGTAACTTACAGTAAAAAAAAAAAAAATCGTCCCTTCTTAAAAACGTCTTCAGGGGCACCTGGGTGGCGCAGTCGGTTAAGCGTCTGACTTCAGCCAGGTCACGATCTCGCGGTCCGTGAGTTCGAGCCCCACGTCAGGCTCTGGGCTGATGGCTCGGAGCCTGGAGCCTGTTTCCGATTCTGTGTCTCCCTCTCTGCCCCTCCCCCATTCATGCTCTGTCTCTCTCTGTCCCAAAAATAAATAAACGTTGAAAAAAAAAAATTAAAAAAAAAAAAGTCTTCAGATGATTTCAATTCTGACCATAATTCAAGATTATATTTTTCACGTGATATATGCAATATATATACTGAGAAATACGTCAGCGCTTGCCGAAGCCTGAGAAGCACCCAGGTAAAAATGATTTTCAAGTTTAAAATCACATCTAGATATGCCTTACAAAAACAGGGAAAAGATGCTTTAGAAAATTCTAGAAAGGGCCGGAAGATTGTGTAATCTTAGGGATGGATGCCTGGATGTATTCTTCTGGATATTCTTCAGGAATTAAAATTTGGAGACTGGGACACACGGACGGTCCTTGCTGCCCAGACATCCAGAGGCGACGCTGGTGAGGAGATGCGGGGCAGGCCTGGGCACCGAGGCCGGTCCACTAAATGTGGCTGCGCCCTTTTTAAATAGAATCCCTGCTTCTGGGCAGCGTCTCGCTGTGGTTTCTAGGACTTGTGTTTCTTGGCAAAGCGCACGTCACTATTTCAATTGCTGGGGCTGTGTGTTTACAGCTTTCTGCAACACTGTGCTTATTTACCCGTGGATGGCCTCTGCAGCTCTCTCGCGGTCCCACACGATGGGTGACACGATTGCTCAAAGGTCTTCGTCCTGTATCTTAGCGTCGAGGCAGGTCACCCAGGCTGCCCGTGATGACCGCGAGGCACCTTCCTGAACACACACGCCAGCCGGCCCATCACACCCAGGCAGGCTGTCGCTTTTCAGGAATCCGTTAGAAATTTTAAAATGTACATAAATCAATTTCCTCTGCACCAGCCTCCCTCGAGCCTCTGGCTGGGCTCACTCTCAGGACCCAACTGAGGTTTCTCTGAGGAGACAGGCTCGATTACTCACCCCTGTCACCCTAAGACCTGAACCCTCTCTGTTCTTCAATATCAGTTGTACTAAACTATAATATAATAACCCGGGGCGCCTGGGTGGCTCAGTCGGTTGAGCGGCCAACTTCGGCTCAGGTCATGATCTCGCGGTCTGTGAGTTCGAGCCCCGCGTCGGGCTCTGTGCTGACAGCTCAAAGCCTGGAGCCTGTTTTGGATTCTGTGTCTCCTTCTCTCTGCCCCTCCCCCATTCATGCTCTGTCTCTCTCTGTCTCAAAAATAAATAAACGTTAAAAAAAATTTAAAAAAAATATAATAACCCTAGGGCACTGTTCCTGTTATACCGCCCCGCCTGCTCGTCTACCCCTAACCCTTGACACCTGGGTTTGTGCCAGCCGCTTGTTCTCTTCTGTGTACACCTGCTGAAGGATGTCTGTCTTTCTTCCGGACCCAACTACTTTTTAAAAAAAATTTTTTTTAATTTATTTATTTTTGAGAGAGAGAGAGTGCACAGGTGCAAGTTGGGGAGGGGCAGAGAGAGAGGGAGACACAGAACCCGAAGCAGGCTCCAGGCTCCGAGCCATCAGCACAGAGCCCGATGCGGGGCTCAAACCCACAAACCGGGAGATCATGACCTGAGCCGAAGTCGGACGCTTCACCGACTAGGCCACCCAGGCACCCCTGGACTCAACTACTTTTTCAAAGAATCAGCCGCTGTCTCCAAAGTTGCTCAAACAGGAGACCTGGTAGGGGGAGTGCCTGCCGGACAAGCTCCGGGGAGAATCCTGCAGGTCTGCCCCCGGCCCAGGGAGCCGCAGGCCGACCGTGGTGTCCCGCTCCGTCATGCACACGGACCTTAAAAGCATGAAAGCATGTTTCCCCTTCCCTGCGATCACGCTTCTCAGCTCTCTTCTCAGGCTCCCGCTGAAGTCTGAGTCCAGGGCGTGACTCCTCCCTTCCTTCCAGACAGCAGCGACATGAAGAGACACCCGCCGACTTCTTCTATTTCATCGACTTCCAGAGACACAACGCTGAGATTGCAGCTTTCCACCTGGACAGGTAGGGCCGGGCCCCGGGGACGTGGCGTGGACTTGGAGGGCTGACCGCCAGAGAGGGGCGCTGGGCAGACCCCCAGGTGGGAAGCCCCTGGCATTTCTTCCTTCTGGCATTCGTGAACCTCAGTGTTGCCCTTGAACCCAACGCGTTTCCTCACTCAGCCCCACCACTGAAAAACACAAGGTTTCTAAGGTAATGAGAAGAATGACCTAGAGAGAAAACTAACCCTGCCAGGAGGCTCAGGCTGCCACCTTGGAGCTGACCTTGCCCTTTGCTCTAGTTTCCTGCTCTGGAGACGGGGAAAAGGCATCCACCCCCATGTACCCCAGGAGTCTTAAAGTGAAACGATGTTAAAAGGTGAAAGCGCGGTCCTAAACTTCCTCCCCTCCTATTTGCCCGGCATTGCTACTCAAGGCGTGTTCTGTGGACTGGCCGCCGGGGGGCACCACCCGGGAGCTTTTCACAAATGCCGAATCTCGGGCTCCCCCCTGGACCCACTGAGAGCCTGCAAGTGAGCGAGATGCCAGGTGACTCGTTACGTACATGGAATTACGAGAAGCTCTGACCTAGGACACGGCCTGCGTTGTGCGGAGGCTTGCCCAGGAGGCCTGCCGGAATTGGGATTCCTTTTCCACTCCGTCCGATACGGGTTTGCCCTGGGCACGGTCAGCTCAGTAGCGCAGAGCGCCCTCGGCTGGCCGTGGTCGGGAATGGCAGTCGACGTCCAACGGGCCACCACCGCCCTCCCTGAGCAAGGCTTTGTCTCTTTCAGGATTCTGGACTTCCGACGAGTGCCACCCACAGTGGGGAGGCTAGTCAATGTCACCAAGGAAATCCTAGAGGTCACCAAGAATGAAATCCTGCAGAGTGTTTTCTTCGTCTCTCCAGGTGGAGTACTGGCCGGAGCAGGGTTTGCCACCGGGATGGGTATATGCTGCCCCCGGACGCTCCCCCGCTGGTGCCCCCCGAGCATCATGCGTGTGAGATGCCAAGCAGGCTGTGTGGGCGTGAGCTACAGCGCCAGCCTCCCCGGCATCAGATGTTACCCATGCAAACAAAGAACATTCTAATCACACGGATGGCATGCCGGGAGGCGGGGTCCCACGCTTCCTCTGTCCTGAGACATTTGAAAATTGGTACCCAGCATCCCCAGTCTAAAAGCATTCACGGGGCGCCTGGGAGGCTCAGTCGGTTAAGCGTCCGACTGTTGGGTTCCGGCTCAGCTCACGGTCTCGTGCTTTGTGGGTTCAGGCCCTGCCTCAGGCTCCGAGCTGACAGCATGGAGTCTGCTTGGGATTCTCTCTCTCTCCCCGTCTCTCTTTCTCTCTCTCTCTCTCTCTCTCTGCCCCTCCCCCGCTGGCTCTGTCTCTCAAAATAAATAAATTGAAAAAAAAAGCATTCACAAGCCCTGACATCTGGAAATGCAATATTTTCTTCTGCCTCTTCCCAAGCTGTGAGTTCAGGGTTTCCCTTCCCTCCTAGAGGATTTGGGAGGGGGGGGGGGGGCGCTGGAAAATGGCCTTGCCCCCTTCTCTTAGTCCTCTCTCTCCTCCGCACCCTCCAGCCAGCAACGTGTGCTTCTTTGCCAAGTGCCCATACATGTGCAAGACTGAATACGCCGTCTGCGGTAACCCGCACCTGCTGGAGGGCTCCCTCTCCGCCTTCCTGCCGTCCCTCAACCTGGCCCCCAGGCTGTCTGTGCCCAACCCCTGGATCCGCTCCTACTCGCTGGCAGGAAAAGAGGAGTGAGTTGGCCCCCTGGCCACAGTGCCCTGCCCCCGGCCCTCCAGGCTTGTCCCTGACAGTGGCTACAGTCCCTGTCCCAAGGCCTGGCGGCTAGCCTGGCTTTTGGACCCCAGAAGCTGCCCCCGACCATTTGCCTGACATGGATTCTGGAACCAGCTGTGCCTCGTCTCCCCCTTTCGCTCATGGATTCAGTTACAAAGAGCCTACTGTGTACCCAGTACTGGGTGCCAGGGGGTACGGAAACCAAAGACCCAGGCTCTCCCCTCGGGAGGCTCCCAGCCTAGTGGGGTGGTCAGACAAGAAGCCTGAGTATGAAAACACGGTGCTACAGCTGCTCGTCATACACACGAGCCCATGAGGAGCCCATGGGAGGGACGCCTGCTTCTCTCTGGCTGCTCCCCCAGGGCCAAGCCCACAGCAGGCGCTCAGTTTCTAGCAGGTGATGGAATGCATAGGTTCATCCGTCCAGCCACTGCTGAGAAGTGAGTGGAGAAGGGTTTCTGGAGGACAGGACAGATCCTCGGGGACTCATGAAGGCAGGGTCAGAGCCCAGCAGATGGACAGGGACAAGAGGGCATTCTAGCAGAGGAGCATAGGAAAGGGAGAGGTGACAGAGAATTGGGGGGCCTGGCAGGGGGGCTCCGAATGGTTCAGGGCCAGGGTCCAGGAGGCTCGGTGACAGGAGCTGCAGGCTCTGGCGCGCGGTATCCCAGCCAGGAGTATAGCGCCCAGCAGAGTGGATGCTCAGGACCCAGAACCTTCTTCGCCCCACGTGGGGTCTGCAGCCCCCCTCCCACCACATGTCTTTGCCCGGGGGCCTCCTGTGTCCCCAGCTACCACCCGCATGCCCAGGACCTGCCGGCAGCCCAGGGTGGGATCGGGGAGGCAGGGATCGGAGGGGGCGAGGGGAGGTGTGAGAAGGACCCCCAACACCTTGCCATCTTGGCTCTTCCAGCCCCAGGACTTCTTCTCCCCCTCAGGTGGGAGGTCAATCCATTGTACTGCGACACGGTGAAACAGATCTACCCATACAACAGCAGCCGCCGTCTCCTCAACATCATCGACATGGCCATCTTCGACTTCTTGATAGGTAGGTCCCCGGGCTCGGGCCCTGGGGCGCAGCGGCCCCCCCAACCCCGCCCCCGCTCTTGGGCTGGGATTTGCCGTGACCTTGGGCGGAAGAGAGTTGCAGCCTGGAGCGCGAGGACTGAGTGAACTGGGGAGCGGCCCAGGTCCCAGACGACAGAAGTTCCCACGCTCCCCTCTTCAGAGAGGACGTCACTCGGGAGGCAGGCACGCGGTGTGAAAACGGCCCACCGGAGGGCTTGCTTGCCTGGGTTGGCTCCCTTCTCCCTCTGCGGCTCCACTCAGGACCCCAGGGAAACAGCCTGTGGCCCTGGGTTCCGAGTCCAGCCTCAGCCGGTGACAGGCCTCCGTGCCCGGGAGAGCTCAGAGGTCCGCAGCGTCTGCCCTCCTTCACAGGGAACATGGACCGTCACCATTACGAGATGTTCACCAAATTTGGGGATGACGGGTTCCTTATTCACCTTGACAACGCCAGAGGGTAAGTGGGCCGAGGCCGTGGCCCTGGTGCGGCTGCCCGGGGCAAACGGGAGGCCCTTCCCCGTCCCGTTTCCGGCCGCCTTGCCCCACTCCTTCCACTTCCTTTTCCTCTTCCTCTTTGCTAAGTGACGCTAGAGTCCCCTCCTACCTGGGAGCGTTAGTGAAACAGACTCACGTTTTCCGTATTTTTTTTTTTTTTTTTACCGTGTGGTTCAGTCTTGGAGGCAGAACACACGGTTCATCCTCAGTGCCTGGTCCCCTGTAGTCAGGGAATGAATGAACGAATGAACGAATGAATGCACATCTTTGGACAGAGGCTTCTGTGAGCTGATTGAGGAGGGGGCTGGAGAGGAAGCCACACGATCCCCGGCGTCTTACCCCAGGGCTGTGAGTCAAAACAAGGATGAGGTAGAGGAGAGAGGCAACCATTAAGAAGGAGGCCACCCTGAAAGCCCGTGTCCCCTTCCAGGTTTGGACGACACTCCCAGGACGAACTCTCCATCCTGTCACCGCTGTCCCAGTGTTGCAGGTAAGCTTTCAGCTCCGGGGCAGGTCGCGATCGCGACTCTTCACGCTCTGAAGGTCTCAAGGGTGCGCTAGGACGCCGGTGGAAAGGATGAAGGGAACGACCTTCTTTCTGGTACAGCCACAGAACCGTCCCCAGCAACGGCCTCTTTCACCTTTCAGCATAGGATGACTGAGGACCTCAAGGCTTGCAAACCCTCCGGTTGCCAACTTGAATCTTTAACCCACTCAGAGATCTCACTCTTGCAAAGCCTGGGTCGTCAACGGGACTAATCACATCTCTGCTTCGCTCAGCACTCACAGAAGCTCAGATTACTACCTGCTCACAGGTCTAAGATCCTGATGGAAATCCCATAAACTCGGGGCGGCCGGCTGGCTCAGTTGGTAGAACACACGACTCTTGATCTCAGATCAGGTTGGGGGTTCGAGCCCCACATTGGGTGTAGAGAGTACTTAAAAATAAAATCTTAAAAAAAAAAAAAAAAAAAAAGTCCCATAAACTCACGTCAGGTTGAAAGGAGGTAGTTAGACTTTGTGCGGCCGCCATTCTCTAGAGAATGTCTAACCCGCCTCCACACCTCTCCGGGGCTCAGGTCAGGCTCGTGAAATGGCCCACCTGCTCAGGTGCGGTATCCAGATCTAACTAGAAATCCCGAGACGCGCGCCTAGCAAAACCACCTTTCACCTCCAGCTGGGAAACTCAGAGCGAAGCATGGTCTTTATCTGCTTCCTAGCTTCATTTAAGCGTGCCTCCCTCCATCCCTCCCTGTCCTCCTCAGGCCAGGCAGTGGCTGTTGAGAAAGCCAGTCGGACAATTAAGCCGCTTACACATCTGAGTGCAGGTCGGATCCCCACATACGCAGAAACCAAATTCCTAAAGCCCGGATTGGTTCCACCCCATCGCCATCCCTCCAAGAAGCTGACACAGAGAAATCGTATAAAGTTGGCAAGGAACAACCTGGAGGCTGGCTTTGGAGATGGCAAACGTCCTCGTCATGTCACCTGCCAGAAGTTTCTCTCGTTGGCTTTAAATCTCCTTGAGATGCCATTCAATGCGGCTTATTTCCTTTTCCCTGGTTTTCGTGAAAATGGGCTCAAAATGACCCCGGGGAAGGCGGCTCCCAGGACATCGGCTACAACAGCTGCTTGCGGGGAACCGAGTTCAGGCAGGCTTTTCCCTTTGCATTTACTTAACTTGCCTCCTCTGACTTTGTCCTTCCAGGATAAAAAAGAAAACGCTTTCGCACCTGCAGCTGCTGGCCCAAGGCGACTACAGACTCAGTGACGTGATGCGGGAGTCTTTGCTAGAAGACGAGCTCAGCCCCGTCCTCACGGAGCCCCACCTGCTGGCCCTGGACCGGAGACTCCAAATCATCCTACAGACGGTGAAGGGGTGTGTGGAGGCCCACGGAGAGCAGAGCGTCATAGCCAGTGACCCCGCAGGAGAGTCGGCCCCGGACTCTGGCCGGGCTAACCCGACAAGCTAGGGGCCGGGTGAAGCCGCGTGTCAGGGACGACGCCTGCGGCCGGCGGTGGACTCGGGTGCGGACCTCGGCTTCCCCGCACCCCCGTCGAGGGGGGAGGCGCTGGGTCAGGAAGTCCTGGGGCACCAGGATGATTCTACAGGAGCAAGACCCGAAGGAGAGGGATCCGCCGAACTTCCTCGGTGCACTGCTTCTCTAGGGCACCTCCTTGGCTCCCTCTTTCCCAGAAGGCACTGCTTCATCAAGGCCACAGACCAGCTCCTGAACCCACCAGGGGAATCTGGACAGGAGTCGGGCTTGGAAGGCCGGGAAGCCTTGTCCCCGGGAAAAGGGTAGAACAAATAAAATAAAAGGACACCAGTGGCACCTAGCTGACCTCCAGATCCTTAGAATATCTATGAGGATAATTTCTGATCCAGATAAAATACCTGGCATCTCACAAGCAGACAAAAAAACAAAAAAAAAAACAAAAAAATCTAAAAATGGTAGCTCTCCAACCGGTTCAAAGTAGACCTAACCCTTTCTATTTATGTCCCAGTCACTGTGGCCCACGTGATAGAATAATCCCTGGCTGGCTGGTCCAAAAGTAGTTTCTCCAACGTTATTACGAGAGGTAGAAAGAACATAGGAATTTGCTCAGAATATCTGAAAGGGGATGTGTTCAATCTGAAGAGTATTTAAATCTCAAGTGAAAGGACGTCAGGTATGTCAAAATTAGCGTCCGGCAACAACAGAAGGAACTTCAGTGAAGGGAAAAGCAGGGCCGTCCCGAAGGGGAAACGGGACCGGAATGGGCAAGGCACGTGCGTGAGCCTGTACTCCGGCAGGAGAAAAGCCAGGGCCCACCCCTCCCCCACAATCCTCTTTTCCAGAAGATCCCAGAACCTGTCACCCTCCTGGTCCCCGAGAGTCAGGGGGCTCTCTGGACAGGTCTGACGCTCTGGACGCCCCTCCCCAGCTGCTTTATCCAAAAAGGACTAAATTGAGTTGACTTTCGAAGCCTCCCTTAGAAGTTGAGTAGATAGGGGTCGCGTCCCCTCAGCTTTCTCCCTACTGACTCGCCCACATTGGAGAGGCCTGTCACCGGAGGCTCTGTCTCACGTGCCCTAAGTCAGGTCTGAAAACCCAAATGACAGGAACGTGGTCCTCCTGTGGGAGTGATCAGTCAGTCCACAAGTAAAAATGGCTGCCTTGTCACATCAACTTCTCTGAGGCCAGAGATTCCAATTCTAGAAATGTGAGGGGGGGTGGGAGGGCCTGGGGAGGGGGGAGGGGGACTTGAAAGCTGTCAGTGAAGCAGGTCCCAGGTCAGGAACCGGAAAGGTCACCCAAGCCCTCCTCACTGGACAGTGACACGGGTCTTTCTGACCCAGCTGGTCCCCGTAAACCTGGGTCTCTGTGACATTCGCTGAGCTTGGGTTAGGAGAGTCAACAAACAGGTTTCTGAGACTCAGAAACTCAGTAACTCAGACACAGGGGGGACAGAGACTCAGAAACTCAGACACAGGGGGAACCCCTGACCCTCCAATGTATACAGGAAAAAATGGTCTCAGAGAGATTAACTCAAATCACACCAGTGAATGATTTAAACCAACTCCCGGGTGTTCTTCCCACTGTGACACAGAAACCCAACGGTATGTCAGTCTGTGAAGTTGTGTTTGTTTCCGGAGAAAATGAACCCTTTCGTAGAACTTTCACCCCAGAGACTTCCATCACGGTAGGGCTCTACTACTGCTCAGGGTTTCCCACTTGATGGAGATGGACTGTCTCCTACTTCAACACGGGGTTTCCTTTGGGCAGAGGGACCAGGTCACCGCACACAGGATGGCAGAAAAAAATATGCAGGCAAAGATGTTCCAAGAATAGCACAGAACAGTCTGGGATGTCGAGCTGCAGAGCCTGCGGAAGGCAAGCCACAGCCCCATGTCAAACCCAGCCACGTTGAGGACAGTGCGCTGGTGTTGAGAATGGCCTGTGATAAATTTTGGTGCATTTTACAAACTAAGAGTAACAGCAATCAGTTTGACTCCAATACGTAGGGTACGGAGAGATCTAATTATTTGCTTCAACGCTCCATTATTTTTTCACTGACGCGGAGGACAAGACTGCATCAATGTCAAAAATACCAGAAAGCAAAAAGTCTCCTCTCTTACGATGGTCAGGTTCTTCCAACACGTCCATTCTGGGCCACTGTTCCACTTCCCCTAACACAAAAATTCTCCCCTCTCTTTGTAAAAACTTTTCACACTACTATGGACAACGAACTGAAAAGTGAAAGGACACTGTACACGAATTGGGAGAGGAAGGGGTTGGAAGGAATTTGTTTGAGCCTGCGCAAAAGCCGGGAGGACAACCGGAGCTCGAAGACCGGACAAAGTGCAGTGGGTTCTCTTACTCGTGGTAGTTTTAAGGTCCATAAAGTCTCCGCAGACGCCGAATTGGTGGAGACTGAATCATCCGCTCCTAGAGGACACACAGGGGGTAGATTCCCAGGAGCCTCTAGTGGCAACACTTTTGTAAACAACTCAATACATAATCTTGACTCGTGTGTTGAAGACACCATCCTGTGCGTTGTCGGTTTACAACACCGAACTTGTGGCCAACAGCACTGCAACTCATGCCCGAAAGAAGCGGCTTAATACGCTTCCTTTCCCCACCAGACACACATCACGGCTTTCCCGCCCTCAGGAACACTAGTTAGCACTTCAGCACTACACTTGGGGGCCATTTCAAATGGTGCGGTCACCAACAGAAAGCGCAAAACTGCAAGAGTAGCACTAAACAGACCGTGAAACAGACATGTGATGACAGTGTGAGAGCCGAAACCGGAAGGCAGAGCATCCCTTTGTTCAAGCTCAGCTGGGCACCCGCATGTTGGGAGAATCAAAGTCTTTGCCCCTCCGCCCATGTCCCCGAATGACAGGGAAGGTGCTCCGTGTACCGACTTGGGTGGGTGGGGGGGGTGTCACAAATTTTAGCCGGTAGGCAAATCTGCAGAATTCACAAATACACCACCACGAATATACAAGGACCAACTGTGTAACTCATTTGAGATTAACCAAGATGATAAAAAAAAAAAAAAAAAAGCTCTCCATCTAGTGGCGACTTGGAGAATCACAGAGCTACTCAAGCTAAATTGGCAGAACTTGGCACAAAACGAGAAAGATTACACTCGCTAGTGGTTTGGGTTTTAGGTTGACCCGGGATGAAGTCACAGCTCTGAACTTACGTTAACAAATTTAAACTTTAAATGTACACAATAATACCGATCTCTATGTGAAAGTTACACAGGGTAAGAAGGGAGAGGTTTAAGATTTTCCCTTTTTACTGGTAGTGGTTAGGATAGCTCACTTTAGGGGGGGCATTAAATGGCGATGTGGCCTTTGCATTTCGGTGCTGTTTTAGCCGTCTAGAAACACAGTGCCGGGGCCTAACAAAAATACAAGAAAGGATTCCGTTATTAATCCATGACCAGCGATAAAGCAGGATTAAGAAAATGATCATCTGGGGAAGCCTGGGTGGCTCAGTCAGTTGAGCGTCCGACTTCGGCTCAGGTCATGATCTCACGGCTCGTGGGTTCGAGCCCCACATCAGGCTCTGGGCTGACAGCTCAGAGCCTGGAGTCTGTTTCAGATTCTGTGTCTCCCTCTCTCTGCCCCTCCCCCACTCACACTCTGTCTCCGTCTCAAAAACAAATAAACATTTAAAAAATTTTTTTAAAGAAAATGATCATCATGCTCCTCCAATTCTAAAATGTCAGCATCTAAGTCAGCAAAAGACAAAAGACAATTCCACACGAGCCAGTGTTCTAGAAGAATGAGAACAGAATCAGCGCAGTCAATCCAAGGAAGTTCTCTTCAGTTCTTTTCTGTGGTGACTCTACATGCTCCGCCTCCAGGGGGCTGAGGGAAGGGGCTACTAAATCAGGACAAAGTGTGCATGTACAAAGCGGCACAAATTAAAGAATGTTCGGGAATATGACACATCTTCACTGGATGTGAAGACATTAATACCAATAAACTAATGAGTACAACTGAATCGTCTCAGAAACCTGAGGAGTAGCAGAATTAAGACTCCATGAATGCAAAATATATAGAAGCATACCTAAATAGCCAAATGCATGTATTGAATTTAAGCCACAGAGTATGCTGATACAGAAATGACGACTCCCGTGAGCTCTGGGAAAGTTCCAAGGGCAGAGAACCACTCTTGTCTCAAATAAAAAGGAAATCTTTCGGCTTCTGAGTTAACCTTTTCCTTCTATTACTCAGTGAACAGGTCGGCTAACAACTCAATTATGCTTCGAGTAAGGATTTCGGACTCATTCTTTAACAAACTGAATTGGAAAACGTTGAAAACACACATAATCCCTTCAAAACACTAATCCCATAATTCACTTGATTTTCATTCTTGCCCACCAGATTTCAAAGTTTCTGGGGGAGAGAGGGAAGAAGACAAGGAAAGGAAAAGGGTTTGAATAAAAACCGATTCATTTAAGAATGTAAATTATTTCGTTTTTTTTTATTACTTGACCTACCGTTAAGACAATCTATAACAAAAAGAATAGAGTATATCAGCACACACAGTATAACCAGACTAGTAAACCAGGGAACAATACAAAATGGTCCTTTGGCCATCTGTACTTTCTAGAGCAATAAATCTCTTAAATTCACTTAACCACGCCCGGAAACAATGACTTCTAAAGCCCTGAATATCAACTAAGACAAATTATGCCGGTTGTGGTTTCTCACATATACTCAGATTGCACAAAGAGAAAGCTTTAAATGTGATAACTTTTCAGTTTAGACTTAAAGTTCCTTAGATTAAAAACTACAAAAGGGAGTAAACAGCAAGCCAAATGATTTAAGAGCAAAACTCATTTCGAAGGCATTGTATGTATCTAAATACACGTGAACATGATTATATACACATATGAAACTGTGCAAACTTACGGCATTCTAAATAATTCAGTTAAGTACAGTTTTGGCATTTAAACAAAGATTAAATCAAGCTTTAAGCTAGTAAGAACAGAACTTTTATTTTTCATTTTTAAATAGAAAAGATAGCTAAACACAAAGTACAGATCAGAAAACCTTCATTTAGTGTAATTTTGAAAAATACAAAAATTTGTAATGTGGTGGCCATCACACTAAAATGTAAATAAAACCGCTTTCCCAGATGTATCCTCCAAACTTCGTTAACAACCTGAAAACCGTTCAAATCTATGAACCAAACCTGCCATGACCAATTTAAATTCCCCGGGAAAGGGCTGGAAGGGGACTGATAATCACGGCCAGTTGCCCACAGATGGAAAAACGCTTGCAGTCACTCCCCAATGTAACCGTACGTTATATATAAATCACAATGAAA